TATACTCCCTATTAAGGACTGCTAGTATAAGGGTGAACATCCCAAGGTGCATAAAGGTGTAGAAATGGGGGTTTACGATATTAGGGGGTAAATTGGGGGTCCCCTATTTTGTAAACTCCCACATCAATCATCTGAAAGTGCATACATACATGGCACATATATAGAAAGCCGGACTCAGAGTTCACCCCGCCTGGTCCTGACTGTAGGAGGAATAGACCGGAGCCCCGAGCTCACCTATCTGATCTAGTGAATTTGGGCTGAAGGTCACAGACCCTAAACTAAGTGAGGGGTCGCTTCCGTCGAGCGACAGACCCGCTCGGCCGAGGGCCTTACAGCCCGAGCGTCCAAGCGAAAAGAGAAACGGAAAAGGTGAGGGTTAAGCCTCACCGTCTGTCCTGGAGGGGAATCCAGGAGCAGGCACAAAGGGTTTCCCTGACCTTCAAATAAATAAGGGCCTCTACGGGCCCTGACACGCCGAAGGCCTGAAAAGGGCCGAGGCTACCCCCAACCCCAGCTTAAACCCTAACAGCGCAACTTTAAAAACATCAAAGCAAGCATCAGGGCACAAGAAAATAATTCCATAAACCCTAAACCCTAATAGAGTATAGTTTGGGTGGCCGGGGTGGGTTGACGGGCAACGCGAGCGCGCGGCCCGGGGAGTTTCACACCCGAGAGCGCGCCCTCCCCTGACACACCCTAAACCCTAAACCCTAAACCCTAAACCCTAAACCCTAAACCCTAAACCCTAAACCCTAAACCCTAAACCCTAAACCCTAAACCCTAAACCCTAAACCCTAAACCCTGTGGGGCTCCCTTTCGAGTACCAACCCACCGCCCCCGAGGGCCACGTGCCAGCCGCCCTCCACCTCGCGCGCCGCGGCCGCGCGGTGGCCCAAGCCGATGCCCAAGGCCGCCTGCCCGAGGCCTGTGGAGTTGAAGGTTCATAAGGTTGAGGGTTTTGGGTTTAGGGTTTAGGGTTGAGGGTTGAGGGTTTAGGTTGGGATGTTCCCCCATACACTAACAGCCCTTAATGGGGATAAAAATAGGGTACTATAATCCCTATTAAGGACTGGTAGTAAAAGGGGGAACAACCCAAGTTGAGGGCATAAGATGTGGGGTTCTGAAGCTTCTTTTGAGTTTTAGAAAATTTAGGGTCTGAAGGGTTTTCCTCTTTGTCGTCTTGAACCGGTATCGCAGGCAAAACAAGGTGTTTTTCAGCCGCATGGGGGACTAAGTTTCTGCCTACACTTGCCGGGCGGCATCGCGATGGCCTTGTCCCTAAACCCTAAACCCTAACCCCTAACCCGCAAACCCTAAACCCTAAACCCTAAACCCTAACCCCTAAGCCCTACGCCCTAAACCCTACACCCTAACCCCTAAGTACCAGGTACCATCCCCTGTGCTTCTCGAAGGTTCTGGTGGGGAGGCCCTCAGTTGAGGGCCTGCGACCGATTCTAAACTCTAAACCCTAAACCCTGAACCCTCTTAAAGCTTCTTGTGCCGCTCTCGTCCTCTGGGCTTCAGCTCTTTCCTGAGTTGCTTAGTAAGTCGTTGCATTTCACAGCGTTTAGGGTTTAGGACCGTGTTTGGGGTGTGGGGTTTAGGGTTAGGGTTTGCTGTTTAGGGATAAGGTTTAGGGTTTAGGGCTACAAGGAAGGGCTTCAGAGAGTGCAGCTTCATGCACTTCCAGAGGCGGAGCAGCATCGCAGTAGATCCAGCCATGCCTCTCTAAACTGGGATCCCTTTTGCGGGGACACACTGGTGAGCTTCCATAGTAGGTGCTCAAAAAAGAATCTTACTTTAAAGAACTACCCATCTGGAGAGTCGAAGCCCCCCCTTTCTTTAAGGACTTTTGTGTTGCGATGGCCCTTGGCTCTGCGATGGCACCTTCCCATGCTGCATGGCTGGACTTCCGCTCCCCAGAGGACGATGAGGTCCAGAGAGAGAGAGAGGGAGAGAGGGAGGGAGGGAGAGAGGGAGAGAGAGAGGGAGAGAGAGAGGGAGAGAGAGAGGGAGAGAGAGAGAGAGAGGGAAGGAGAGAAGGAGAGAAAGAGGGAGAGAGAGAGAGGGAGAGAGAGAGAGAGACGTGTTGGTTGACGCGCTCTCTCCTCCCTCTCTCTCTCTCTCTTCTCTTTCTCTCTCTCTGTCTTTCTTTCTTTCTTTCTTATTTCTTTCTGTCTGTCTGTCTTTCTTTCGCTCTTTCTCTCTTTCTCTCTTTCTTTCTTCTTTTTCTCTCTCTCTCTCGCTCTCTGTATGCAGTATACATGATATATACCGACATATGTAAGCAAACACAGGAGTAGGTCTTATGTGTTGCTTCCATGTGTAGAGACACCTAGTAACTCACGAATTCTGAATTCATCCTCAAGTTTCTTTCCATTCTACATCGTTCTACACCCTTCGTGGTCGATCCTGAGCGGTCGCTTCTATAAGCCACGCGCTATATCCAAGGGTTTAGGGTTTAGGGTTTAGGGCTTAGGGTTTAGGGTTTAGGGTTTCGGGTTTAGGGGTTTCGGGTTCATTTTGTGTGCGATCGTTAGTTTGTTTCTCTCATCTGTTGTCCGGTAACCTTCATGGTCCATGGCCCATGGCCTGCGCTTGACTACATGCCTTATATCTACTATGCAGTGTCTTTCGTCTTGTGTGTTGTCACACATCGGTGGATCTGCTCCATGAAAGAATATTGCATCTTTCATAAAAACGAGTGTGTTAATCGTATACGGCAGTTCTCTAAGTTCGGGCCCCTGTTTGGGAAGTTTGTTGTAAGGGGGCCGTGCTATACAGGGAACCCAAACAGGGACCCTAATCTAGAGAACTACCCATATTTCGTGTGCTGTATAGTTTCCCTCCGCATCTTGTCTTGCAGACCAGGGCCTGGGGTGAAACCAGGTAGAGTACATTTCACGTGGCAGTTCCCAAAAACGCCAGAGAGCCCAATACCTCTTAGCAAAAGAACATGTGAGGATCCCTCTTAGAAGCTAAGGTGTATGAGAATCCTTCTCTTAGAGTCGAAGGTCTATTCGGGGCATTGGGCTCACTGGGTCGTGTCCGCCCGAAGTGCTGTCAACCCATGTTCGCTGGGAGTCTGGCTGCTGGCAGCGGCGATGGGCCGTCCTTTCGCAGGCAACCTGGATTAGGTCCATCGAGGTTGTTTGGGGGTTATTGAGGGGCTGCTTAGGCATATAGGGACTATATAAGGTTTTTTTGAAATATATGTATATATATTATATGTTTATATTGTGACTATATAGGGTCTGTATATATATATATATATATATAGGTTCTTCGGGTTGTGCTGATCCCACTGGCAATAGGCTTCTGCAACGTTGGCTGACTTGCCGTTTCTGACAGTGCACTGCTACCATGTCCAAGAGAGCGCAACCGTGTTTGCGCGGCAGGGGTTTCTGTCGCTCTTCCCGGACGACACCTGCGCGCCTACCGAGCTGCAGCTAGCGACACCCCCCCGTGGAGCCATTCTTTGTGCCCAGACATACGCCCCGAGCCATCCCTAGGCACCCACTGTACCGATTTCGGGGGTGTCCTGCCCTACCCTAAACCCTAAACCCTAAACCCTACTGTAAACCCTAAACCCTACACCCCACACCCTAAACCCTAAACCCTAAACCCCAAACCCTAAACCCTAAACCCTAAACTCTAAACCCTAAGTCCTAGACCCCCCGTAAACCCTAAATCTATGCAACTAGAAAGAGTAGGGGCGAAGAGAACCCAGGCGCGCCACTGGAAGCCTGCGACTTCCGGCCACAGCCGGGGGACCGAGCTTGAATGTTGACAGGGAGCCCTCTAGGTTTGGGGTAAAAGTGGCTTCAGGGGGTTTAGGGTTAACCCTAACCCTAAACCCTAAACCCCAAACCCCAAACCCTAAACTCTAAACCCTCCAGCTTCAACCCTCAAACCTGAACGTTTCCTCAACAAAGCCTTCAAGGGTTCCAAACCCTAAACTCTTCAACCCTAAATCGAGCCCCAAACCCTGAACTCCGAAACCCTAAGCCCCAAGCCCTAAACCCCAAACTCTCAATCTTAAGCCCCAAGCCCGGAACTCTTAAACCCTAAACCCTGAAACCTTAACCCAAACTCCAAACTCTAAACCCCCTAAACCCCCTAAACCCCCTAAACCCCCTAAACCCCCTAAACCCCCTAAACCCCCTAAACCCCTAAACCCCCTAAACCCTTAAGCCCCCCAAAAGCCCTCTGCAGGCCCGGGCCCTGGCCTTCGGGGACCCCCGCAGCCCGGGGAGGGCGGCGAAGCTCCGGGGCCACCGGCCCTGCGGCCCGGGGCTTGGGAGAACCAGCTTGTGGGGTTGAGGGTTTAGGGCTGAGGGTTGAGGGTTTTGGGTTTAGGTCGGAGGTTCATGAAGAACAACCTCACACCCAGCCAGGGCTACTCCTGGAGCTCAACCCGCTCGAGTCGGAAGATGCCGCAGCTTGGCTGCGGGGTTTTGTAGAAGGGTCGGCGCTGCAAGAAGCGGGAGTCACGCCTGGTTCCTGCACAAGAGAGAGTGAGAGAGAGAGAGAGAGAGACCCTAAACCCTAAACTCAGCAAGCCCTGCAGCAGAAGAAGGCCAAGACAACCTTAAAGGCCCTGGAGCCCTAAACGCCGTAAAACCGCAAATCAACCCTAAGACCCTCCCCCCCCCCCCCCCCCCCCCAACGCCCTAAACCATCCCAAGCCCGGTTTCAAATGGAAACTCTTAAAGACGGTTATGGACCCGTGGGCCTAATGTAAACCTGGAGATATGAGGCAACCTTGGGAACGTTCATTTGTGTAGTGTACAGGGTTCCCTTTGCCCAGCCAGTCACACCGCTTTCGAAACGCCGCTCGATCAAGGCGCATGAGATGTCTTTTGTCTGTGGAAAAGCGGACCGGTGCGTCGCGCTCTTAGCGTTGCGGTGCCTGCCAGTGTCAGCACCGCACTTAGCTGACATTGGTAGCGGAGCTCTGTGCAGTTCCCGAGCCTTTAGAGTGAGCCCAATAGCTTGTGATGGCCGCCCCCTACGATGATCCGTGGGCTGATTGGCGGCGGCAGAGCAGCGAAGCAGCCCTCTCCCGGGATGCAGAGATGAGCGAGACGGCGGCCACCGGTGGGATGTCGTCCCGACCGACAGCAGAGACCTACCCGGACGATCCTTCTGACCGCCGGGCCGACGGTGAAGTGAGTGGTGATTTCGTGGCAGGCCAATCAGGAGATTGGCGGGGACGCACCTCTCCCGGGGACACCGCGACCGGCCCGAACACAGACAGCGGTGACCAAAGAGCAGAAGAAGGAGACCGTGCCTCCGACGGGCACCACTCCACTGGTTCTGGTGGCTGGTGGCCTGAGAGTGATAGATGGTGGCGCCGAGGTGCTACTGGGGAGTCCTACAGCACTACCACCAGCCAAGCGCGGCGGCAATGGACGAGTGAAGAATGGCGGCAGTGGAACGACTGGTGGCAGCGGAACAGCGGCGCGGACGACGCGGCGCGGCCCTCGGTGACTTCGACATCCCCTCCGAGCACTACTACCCGAACCGGAACTACCTCGACGGCCCGAACCACTTCCACACCGATAAGCCCTGGGCATAACGGCGCTGGAGCAGGCAAGGGGCCCTCTGAGAAACTGCTGATTCCCACTTTCAGCGGGGAGGCCGGCGACATGGCAGAGATCGGGTCTTCGGCTCGTAGCTACCTTCGGCAGGTCGATGCATGGCAGCGGATGACGAAGCTCTCGACCGACCAACAGGCCCTTGTTCTCTACCAACACCTGCAAGGGTCTGCTTGGGTGAACGCGGAGTCCCTGGACGTTGGCTGCCTGGCTACGTCTGCTGGCGTAGAGCACCTGAAGGACTGGGTGCGCCAACACTATCTGGACGTGGAGGTCACGCTGGTGGGAAGGTCGCTGAGTGACCTGTTCAGAAAGTTGAAGCGGAAGCCCCAACAGACCTTCCGGGACTACGCGGCCGAGTTCAACCGTCTCCTTGCGAGGGTCACCGAGTGTGGGTGCCGACTACCAGATGTGGCCAACGCGTGGCTCTTCGTGGACAGGGCCAACCTCGATGAGCAGACGGAGGTCAGCCTGCTGGCGAGCGTTGGGAATCGGTACGAGCTGAAGGCCCTCCAGCAGGCGGCGATCATCTTGGATCGTTCCATGCGGAAGCCTTGGGAAAAGCCCCGCCATTTCGAAAACCGAGATCCGAGACGTGCCCAGACGGTGCACCAGACCGAGGAGTACGGCAGGGACGACGAAGGCCACAGCTCAGAGGACGAGCCACCCTCCATCGACGACCCCGACATCGACGGCGAGGCCCTGTACGTGAGCTACATGACAGCAAAGGCACGGTATAAGGAGGTGACGAAGTCCAGGGGCGTGGTGACCACTGGTGACCCAACCGCAGCCAAGAAGGCCGCAGAGGAGAAGATCCGTTTGGCGAAATCGCGGTCACACTGCTCGGCGTGCGGACAAAAGGGCCACTGGCACAGAGATTCGGTATGCCCGAAACACAAAGACAAGGCCGGGGCCCAGACCATCCACGTCACGAATGACATCATGGAACTCATCCACGGGAACAACCTGGACCTCCTCGCCATCCTTGATTCGGCCTGTTCGAAGTCAGTGGTTGGGACGACATGGCTTCAGCGCTACCTCGACCACATCAAGGGCAAGGGACGGGACGTTGATTTCGTCTACGAGAAAGAAGCCTTCAAGTTCGGGGCGGCCAGCCGGGTCTACGAGTCCACCTATGCGGCGGTGATCCTGGTCCCGATACAAGGGAGGTGGGTCGGCATTAAGGCGGCGGTGATCCACGGCGAGCTTCCCCTTCTCCTTTCGAAACCCGCACTTTCTCGATTGGGATTGGTGCTGGACCTCGGCAGCAACACCGCCAACTTCAAGGCGATCGACAGTGGGGAGATCGAGCTAGCGGCTACCGCTAGCGGCCACCCTGCAATTCGTGTTGGCCACGGGAACGGCCGTGAGCCGGATGTGAAGATGCTTCCCCGACAGTGGGAAGGGCACGGAGTGTCGATCCTTGCGCCTCGTGAAGTATACATGGTCGCACCGGGAAGTTGCCCAACTAGCCCTTGCTCCCCGCCCGTGCTGTTCTATGGCAAGAAGCTAGGCCCCTTCATAAAGGACATGCTTGTTGCGGATTCCCTCAACACCGATGCCTTTTACGATTGGTGGAGTAGTACAAAGCTTTCGAGTGATTTCTGGATTGAGTGCCCCGACCGCCTGGTTAGAGTCCACGTAACTCCCCGAAAGAACTTCTTCGACCCCAGAAGCTGGCAGACCACTCACACTCTTCAACGCACGTTGCTGCTGGATGCCTTGGGTAGCTTGCGTGAGTCCTGGGGGATTGCGTGCGTCACTCAGTGCACTCTGAATGTCATCACCGAAGATTGGAGATCTAGAGAGACGGCAAGTGGGTATTCAACCTTGTGGATTGGCCGCAGTGTGTTCAATCGAGCTTCGGGTCAACGCCCGACTCCGACCTGGAACCCTTCCCCCTGCGATGAGCACTCTGACGCCGCTATGGAAGATGTCGAAGGCGCAGCTGCTGGCGGAGTGCACCAAGCGAGGCCTGGCGGTCAGCCCCAAGTGGACGTGCCCCGAGTTGCGGACCATCCTGGTGAACAGCCCGATCCCTACAGACGAGGGCCTGCAACTCCCGAAGGGGCTCTCTTCCATGTCGCTGGCGGAACTTCGGCTGGAAGCGGCGCGGGTGGAAGTCGAGTTCTCGGAGAAGGACACGAAGGGCGCGCTCATGCTGAAGATCAGGGACGCGGTGGCGCCCAACGAGACGGTGATGACCCTGGGTCGCTTCAAAGGGTCATCGTACGCGGACATCCCGGAGAACTACGGGGCGTGGGCATCGGAGGAGGAGAAGGTCAACGGGACGAACATGCACCCCGACCTCAAGCGGTTCGTGGTGTGGCGGCGCCGACACAGGACCAAGGAACAGAAGCCCAAGGAGGAGCCGAACCCCTACTACCTCGACCCCGAGAAGAACGCGATGGTCCCTCCTCCGCCGATGAGCGAAACGGGCTGCTCGGCCGCGTCCTGGGCGCTGTTGGGCGAGGGGTACGTGCAGCATCAGATATCCTCTACCACAACGACAACAGCACCCCTTGTGAGGCCCGAGGTGACGCGTCTGGCCGCAACGACCCCCGAGACGTCGTCATCAGGCCGCAGGACCAGGCAGAGGGAAGAGAGCGAGAAGGAGCGCATGACCCAGGACGTGACCCCCGAGGTGATGTCAGAAATTCAAGCGCTGGAGGCTCGATTGGCGACGCTGAAGGACTCTTGTGGCCTCCATCCGTGATGGACGAGGCAAGCAATTCGGAGGGACCCGCCGGCGCAGTGCCAGCACACGTCACGCACCACGAACCCTCCCCAAAGTGCTCATCGGTTTTCGCAGACACTTTTGAGGAGGCAACCGTCCCCGCTGATGAACTGGACGCCTTCATGACGATTCAGCTCGAGGCAAAGGACGGGGATCATGCTGGAGAGCGTTTGGCGGCCCAGGGACTTCGTGATGAAGATTTTCGCACCGAGACCCTCCTGGCCATCCTCGAGAAGTATAACTTCAGTGATCTTCATGGTGGTCAACGGCCGCGCGTGCTCACCCATGGAAGAGAACCAGTCGATCGCGGAGCCCACGGCGCCTTCAAAGGGATAACCCGGAAGACGCTAAAATGGCCGCTTCTCCTGAGGTATGTGAACGCGTTCCTCGGCGACGATTGGGAACATGGAGACGGCCGCCGCGCAGACCGAGACCGCCGAAGTTGGACCTCGCTGAGTATCTCACACAATGTACCCTCCGAGATGCACACCGACAAAAACAACCTGAAGGGGAGCCGAAACTACACCCTGTGCGTCGGTGAGTACGAAGGCGGAGGGTTGTGGCTGGAACAACCAGGAGGCGGAGTGTGGCGGCGCGGACCCCATGCCGATGAGGTCGAGGGCATCGTCATTGACAACAAGGACCAGCTGTGCGAGTTTGACCCTCGCCTTCGACACGCATCCCAGCCGTGGACCGGGAATCGTTGGTCGATCACGGCCTATACCAAAGGCCGAGAGGAGGACGCTAAAGGAGCTTGGTTTTGCGACCCCTTCCCGTGCCGAGATCCGCGCTATGAGGACCACGGTCGAGCAGGAGAACGCACTCCATGAGACAAGGGAGGCCCCGCTTCGAAGCCAAAGGAAGAAGGTTCGGAGGAAGGCGGCCGCCCTCAGCGTGCTGCTGGCTACCGCGATCTCCGTCTTCACAGGCGTCTGCTGCGATACTCTGCCGGAGAGGATGTCCCCCAGCAACGCCCTCCTGGAGGTTGGTGGAATCTCTGCTACCTGTAGACTGGCGGAGTTTTGTCCCCAAACGGTCAACATCGCCGAGCCCATTACACTTGATGATCTTTTGGACAACGACCATCCCGAGGACGCTTCCTTTGGCTTGGTCGAGGCGGCGGTAATGCGCGAGGAGCCCGGCGAACTATGGATACATGTACGAGAAGAATGGACCGACACCAACATCTACGAGGACATGATGGAGGCCATCGAGACCCAACTCCGCAGCAGGAGGGCAGTGATATTCCAGCGTGCCCTCGAGGAAGACGAGGTGTGGGAACAAATGACCTCCGGATGGTGCGAGGCCGGCTACAAGGTCACCCACGATGTTGGCGAAAATCAAGAAGAGCTCATCCGTGTGATTCAACATGAAGAAGAGCCGGGGGTGCACGAGGTGATGATCGGGGACACCGTGATTTCCATGGTGACGGGAAAGGAGACCAACATCGACGACGAGCTGGAGAATGTCAGTGGCACGAATACCTCCGGGTCCGAAGGCGTGGACGACGACCCCGTTGCTGCCGAGTCCAAGGGTGACAGAGCCGGAAAAACGGTCTATGCGGAAGGGGTGCTTCCTCCGGGTGACGAAGGACGCGACCAACCGTTGGAGCGAGGGGCTCGAGCCATCAAGTTCCCTCCTTCTGTCCCTGGCCATATCGCTTCAAGTCTCCGCCGGCTACACCAAAACTTGGGCCACCCATCCACTGCCGACTTTGTTCGGCGCCTGAGGTTGGCTGGTGCTAGCCGCGCTGTCCTGAAGGCGGCCCGCTCTCTCACTTGCGAGACGTGCCGCCGCACCAAAGCCACGGCGGCGGCAAAACCCGCCAAGATCGGAAGCTGCCTGAGGTTCAACAATGTGGTCGGGGCCGATTTGATCTATGTGCACGACTCGGAGGGTGTCAAGCATCAGTTGCTATCCGTTGTGGACTTCTCCTCGGCTTACCACATAGTGATACCGGTTGCCCGAAAGGACACGCCGCACCTCGAAAAAGCTTTCTGCGAGCATTGGCTTAATGTGTTTGGGACACCTACGGTGGTGGCCGTCGACCTCGAGAATGGATTGGAGAAAGCCTTCGCCAAGATCAGCGACTGGACCGGCACGAAGATCAAAAATGCAGCCGGCCAGGCACACTGGCAAGCTGGTTTCGTCGAACGCCACGGTGGTACCTGGAAGGCCATCTTTGCTCGCATCGTCGACGAGATGTCCGTGCAGAAAGGAGACATGCATTTGGCAATCGCCGCCGTTTCCTCGGCGAAGAACGGATTGGCCCGGTCCGGGGGGTACAGTCCTGTCCAACACGTCTTCGGCTCGACACCAAACTTGCCCGAGGACTTACTGGACGGACCCCATGCAAACCGCCCGGGCGATGAACCCATCATCGACGACAAGCACGCTAGAGAGGTGGCAATTCGAACGGCGGCAAGGGCGGCCTTCCACGTTGTCCAAACAGATGATCGGGTGCGGAGGGCCTTGGCGGGCCGCGCACGCGTTCAAGATCGGGCCCCGGAGCCGGGCGAACAGGTGTTCTTCTACAGGAAGGCGAAGAACGCAAAACGGGGGAGCTGGCTCGGCCCGGGCACAGTGATTGGACCGGAGGGCAACAACCTGTGGGTGACTCGTGGTGGGCGATGCTTCCTATGCGCTCCCGAACATCTCCGTCTGTCGACTCCAGAGGAGCTCGGCCAGGCTTTTTCCTTCAAGGCTGCCAAAGAGGACCTCGACCGCCTCCTGAACACCGAGCTGGAGACGGACGAAGAGTTCCCGGCCCAGACCGACCTTGATATCGGAGAGGCTCCGGAGGGCGGCATTTCAGACGTGGGCAGTCACGTCGTGCCTACAGATGAGGAGATGATGGACCCCGATGACGATGATGAAAGAACGGATGGGCATCCACCTCGTGGTCGACGACGTGTTCATGAAGGGCCCCCTCCGTACCAGGTGATGAAACGCCATCGCCGAAAAGGTCCCCCTGATCCTCCTCGCGAAGCCATGATGCTCAAGCAGGCCAAGACAAGACGCTCCCGGGAAAAGCAGATGGAGAAAGAGTTGCCGTGGAACTCGATCCCGGAGTCCAAACGAGAAGAGTTTCGTGCCGCTGAAGCCAAACAGTGGAAGGAACACCTGGACCACAACGCGATCGAAGTGCTATCCCTCAGCGACAGCGAGCTCATCCGCCGCTCAGTGCCCGGTGAGCGTATCCTCAATTCGAGGTACGCTTACCGTGATAAAAACCTCGGTAAGCGGCGGGCAAATCCAGATTTGCCATGGAAGCCGAAGGCGAGGTTAGTTGTAGCCGGGCACCAAGACCCAGATGTCCTCACCTCCGACGCCCCCGTCGACTCCCCGACGGTGGCACGTTCCTCACTGATGGCCCTCCTGCAGATATGTGCTTCCCGACGCTGGACGGCAGCTGCTGGCGACGTTCAAGCAGCCTTCCTCAACGGTTTGGAGCTGCAGAGGGACTTGTGGATGAAACAACCCCGGGGCGGAGTCGATGGCCTACATCCTGACCAACTGGTGAAGATTCGGAAGGGGATCTTTGGGCTATCAGAAAGCCCCCGCCGCTGGTATGAGAGGCTCTGCAACGTGCTCCTCAACGAGGTCTTTGCCGTCGACGGGAATGACTACGTCCTAAAGCCCTGTCCCTTGGACCCTTGCGTGTTCATGCTTGTGCCCAAGGACTTCAAAGGGGAACCTGTCGCCTACTTGGCCATCCACGTCGACGACATCCTGGTGATTGCGGACAAGAAGCTCAATCGGCTCCTACAAGCTCGCCTCAGCGAACTTTTCCGGTGGATGGTTGGGAAGAGGACGAGTTTGACTACGTGGGGTCGTTTGTCCGGAATGGCCCTGAAGGGGTCAAGCTTTCCCAGACGAGCTTTGTCGAGGGCAGGCTGTTTCGAGTTGATGTTCGCAAAGACCAACGTGCCGAAGACCCCGCTGAGGAGGAACAGATCATCGACAACCGGTCTTTAGTGGGGGCCTTGAGCTGGTTGGCCACACAGAGCCGGCCCGACCTTCAGTGCAGCGTGGCGCTTGCTCAACAATTGCAAAGGGCCCCAACCGTTGGCGACGTACGCTTCACCAACACCATCGTCGACCGCGCCAACCTCCACAAGGATGAGGGCATCAACCTCCCGCCGGTGGATCTGGATCGCGCGGTGTTCGTCGTCTACCACGACGCCGCCTGGGCCAACGCAGAGCTCGAGGTGGCTGAGGCTGGGTTCCAGCTAACTCCCGAGGAAGTCCGCCTCGGGAACATCGGGGGACCCTTCGGCCCTGACCGGCCTAGAAAACCCAAACGGGCCGGGTCAAAGCTCGCCTCCCAGATCGGCCACATGATCATGCTGTTCGATGAGAAGCTGGCTAGTGGATGCCTGGCAATCGGTGGGATGCTGGAGTGGAGGAGCCAATCCTGCAAACGGGTCTGCAGGAGTACCTTTGGCGCAGAGACTATGGCCGGGGTCGAAGGACTGGAAGGGGGCCAGTACACCCGGTCCCTGTTTGCGACCCTCCTGAAGGGGGACCTGGTGAAGGTGGAAGAAGCACGGAGCCGTTGGCCTCTACTCTGCCTGACCGACTGCAAATCCCTCTTCGACCATCTTCAGAAAACCGGAGTACCCCGAGTGCCAAGTGATCGTCGTCTGGCGATAGACCTCACCGCGCTCCGAATGGAACTCCTGGTCGAACGCTGGCATGCCAAGATCCCCCTGCTCTGGATCCCGACGGGCGACCAGATCGCGGACCCGCTGACGAAACCCATGAACTGCGAGGAATGGTGGCAACGGATGAAGAAGGGCATTAGGTTGCCTTTCCGTAGCGGGTGGCTACAAGTGCCAAACAGAGGGGGGAAGACTTTTGACCAGTGTAAACCTGGAGATATGAGGCAACCTTGGGAACGTTCATTTGTGTAGTGTACAGGGTTCCCTTTGCCCAGCCAGTCACACCGCTTTCGAAACGCCGCTCGATCAAGGCGCATGAGATGTCTTTTGTCTGTGGAAAAGCGGACCGGTGCGTCGCGCTCTTAGCGTTGCGGTGCCTGCCAGTGTCAGCACCGCACTTAGCTGACACCTAAACCCTAAACCCTAAACCCTAAACCCTAAACCCTAAACCCTCAACCCTCAACCCTCAACCCTCAACCCTCAACCCTCAACCCTCAACCCTCAACCCTCAACCCTCAACCCTCAACCCTCAACCCTCAACCCTAAACCCTAAACCCTAACCCCTAAACCCTAAACCCAAAACCCCAAGTCCAGCCGACGTTTCCGAGGGCGAGCTGCCTTGTGGGGAGTTTCGGCAGCTGCTCCTCTTCGATGCGCTCGAGTCTGGGGCGCTGAAGGCCACTCTTGAAGCCCTTAGCCCTAAACCCTAAACCCTAAACCCTAAACCCAAAACCCAAAACCCTAAGCCCAAAACCGTAAACCCTAACCCTTCAAAACCTAGAGCCCTAAGGCCTCAAAGCCCTCCAAAGCCCGAAATAGGGAAGCTTGGGGGTCTCTCGAGCTCAAGTAATTGGGGGTGTGGGAGTAGTGCCCTCAAATCCTAAACCTTAAGCCCTAAACCCTAAACCCTAAACCCCTAGATCTAAACGTGGAGCGTGATTCGTTTTGGGGGCGGGTGCCTTCTCTCCGCAGGTGTGGCTGGAGAAGCTCAATGCGGCAGCAGCGCTGCTGCGGCACAGCCCCGCAGGCCAGAAATTGGGATTGTTAAGGGTTCAGGGTTTAGGGTTAAGGGTTATAAGGGTTAAGGGTTAAGGGTTAAGGGTTTAGGGTTTAGGGTTTAGGGTTTAGGGTTTAGGGTTTAGGGTTTAGTGTACCCAGAGTAGGCCCTTATTTCCCTTTCTTTAGGGTTTAGGTTCCCTTAGAAACCCCTTTAAACCAAAGGGTACCCTCTTCATTCCCAGCTTTATTCCTAGGTTGCTCTTGGGTCTACTTGGAGGTTCATGGTACTTATGAACCAAGGATAACTGTACTTACAACCATCTTAGGGCTCTTAAGGGGCGTAGAAGTGGGTTATAAGTACAGTTAAAATAGGTTGATAAGTACCATGAACCTCCAAGTAGGTTGCATCTGCTCATGATCCTCGGAGGCAGGGGTCAACTTCGAGGGGGTTCGAGCCGCCTTCGCACCATTTGCCTCCAGCTCTGCGTTGTTTCAGGGTTTTGGGTTTAGGGTTGCGCGAACAGTCCCTACTAAGGAATTCTCATAGGGGGCACTAGAATCCCTGTGGAGGACTGTTAGTATAAGGGGGGAACATCCCAAGTTTAGGTCTTAGGTTCGTGGGCTCTGTGAGAGTGGCTTGGTATTGTGGAGAGTTTCAACCTAAACCCTAAACCCTCAACCCTCAACCCTAAACCCTGAACCCTAAACCCTAAACCCTCAACCGAGGGTTTCAACCTTGGCTCCCCTTCAGACTCCGGTGCCTTGCCTGGGGCGGTGCCGTTCGACTCCTCGCCGGGCGGCTACCAATCGCCGCAGAGGCGTGGGTTTAGGGTTTAGGGGTTTCGGGGTTTTGGGGTTTTGGGGTTTCGGGTTTAGGGTTCAGGGTTTAGGGTTTAGGATTTAGGGTTTAGGGGGTTTAGGGTTAAGGGTTGGGATGTTCCCCCTTATGCTAACAGCCCTTAATAGGGATTATATAGTTCCCCCTGCTGTAATCCCTATGAAGGACTGTGAGTGGAAGGGGAACATGCCAAGTTAAGGGTTTAGGGTTTCGGGTTTAGGGCTTGCGCTGTTCCGTCCGGTCCTTCGGCTCTTCCAGTGAGTGCGGTTCCTCGATGACACGACGTTGTAATTTTTCAGGAGGAGTCTCGGAGTTGATTTCTATGCCTAAGCCCGATAAGCCAACCCTACACCCCAAACCCTCAGCCATAAACCCTAGTTGCTCCCGGTTAGCAAAGAAGGGTTTTGGAGCTCAAATGGAATGAATAGTATCTTATGGGAATTCCAGAAATCGAATCTCGATATTCTGCCAAGGTTCTGATCTTCTTATCCATTTTTCCATCAATTCCAATGAGTTCAGAAGGAATCCTTCTGGATTTCCCTGCAAATTCTATTTATTCATCAATCCAATGAAATTGATGACGATTCTTCTTATATCTTTCGCCAATTCCATTCCAGAAAGAAACTAGTTATTTTTTTATTGACAAAAGATCATATTATTTCTTGTTTAAAGAATGGGATTTTCGTCAAATCGAATTTTTCGAATTTATGAAAGATTCATCTTTAGATAGATTCGTATATATATATATATATGTATATTTATTTCTTTATTTAAAGAAATAGAGCGAAAACAAACTTTCAATAAACAAATATTGCGAAGAACTGCG